GTCTGTGACTTGACATCTCTTGTGCCTGCCCCATCACAGGCAGAGACATCAGTGTAGGTCATTACTTTGTTTTCAGGTGTCACAGGGAGTAAAGGATGGTGGGCTTCCATAGGGAAGATGGTAACAAAATTTCAGAAGCCTGTCACTCGTTCATAACGTGATGCCTGTAGATGCAGGAAATGGCTGAAGTGCTTACTGCCTTCATGGAAGGCAGCATGGTTGCTCAATCTGATTTAGTCGGATTTTTATAAGTTGTACTTTTTTTTTTTTTTTTTTTGATTTTTCAAGACAGGGTTTCTCTGTAGCTTTGGGACCTGTCCTGGAACTAGCTCTTGTAGACCAGGCTGGCCCCTAAGTGGTACTTTTGAAAGTATCTTTTTGAGTCACTATTAATGACCATTAGCTGGCCTCTCCGCATGCATACAGCCCAATGAACTATGTTTTCATATACTAATATAGGGAGATGGTATTTAAAATGATACTGCACTTGACTATGTGGGAAGTTCAGAGTACATATGCTTTTTTTAAAAAAATATAAAATATAGGGCGGTGGTGGCACACGCCTTTAATCCCAGCATTCGGGAGGCAGAGGCAGGTGGATCTCTGTGAGTTCAAGGCTAGCCTGGTCTACAAGAGCTAGTTCCAGGACAATTAGGACTGTTACACTGTCTCGAAAACCAAAAAAGAAAATCAACCCCCCCCCCCAAAAGCCATCCAAAACAACAAAAAGGTTGTCTTGTTGGGTGGTGGTGGGGCAGGCCTTTAATCCCAGCACTCTGGAGGCAGAGGTGGGCGGATCTCTGTGAGTTCGAGGCCAGCCTGGTCTACAAGAGCTAGCAGGCTCCAGGACAGGCTCCAAAGCTACAGAGAAACCCTGTCTCAAAAAAAAAAAATAAAAATAAAAATAAAAATAAATAAATAAAAATTGAAATGTCTACAAACTTAAAGTCCAACATGAAAAGAACCATGTTCTATATAATGAAAGGGATGTCATGCGAAACACTGTCTAGACCACATTCACGTTGAAGTCATTATAACTAAGAAATGTTCAACTTGTAGAAAGTGAAAACCAGTTCTCTCAAGTGACGCCCTGTGATTCCCTCACCAGCACGATGAAAGAAGGGACCATGTAGAAGTCTGTCCCGATGCTGGCATTATCATACAGGAACTGGCTCAGCGCATCGCACTCACTGGAGGCGCTGCCCTGATTGCCGACTACGGTCACGATGGAACGAAGACAGACACCTTCAGAGTACGTATCACACAGGGGCACGCTTGAGCACTGCTCCATTGCTGGCCTGAGTTCACCGAAGGCTGCCTTAGCTTGGTCTTCATGGTGTCTGACTTAGTTGTGTTCATTTTAGAATGTTAATTGTGCTGGTACAATTACCCATAATATGAATCTTACAGTCATTCTTCCTTAGTGTAGAGCCTGGATATGCACAGAGCCCAGGAAACATTGGAATAATACAAATTTTGGGAAAGAATTTCTTCATATTAATGTTTCAGCCCTGCCTTCATTAAAACATACACACACACACACACACACACACACACACACACAAAACAAAAGTTGCTTTGCACATTTAACCTAGACATTGCAATCCAACTATTTTAACATGTTTTTCTATCCATGTATTTTCTTTTATCCTTCCTAAACACTTTCTAAATGTTCTTTAAATATGACAAAACCTTCAAATATGTTGAATATTCTTTCATAGGAGTATGTAGAGCTGAAGGCTGTTACTCATTTTCTAGATGAGTGGTTCTTTGTTTCTAGCTCCATTATTGTTGGGAATTCTTAGCTGGGAGAACATGGTGAGACTGATGATCTCTAGCCTCCTCCAGGATCGCGGTAGGGCAGGCCTAGATGGCGCACACGCCCGTATTTTCAGGTGCTTTGGAGTCTGTGATTGACAGGTAAGCACTTACTGCCTAGTGCTGATGACCGGAACTTGCCACAGCATTAATGGGAATGGTAAATAGCTTTAAGTTAAGGGCAACATCTTCAGACATTCTAACCTTGTATATTCTGTTGGGTTTTCCATGTATCACCTTGTTCGGAGACAGGATGTCACTGCCTAGAGTTTAAACCACAGATTTAGGCCACACTTTTTAACACTGACAATGTAAAGAAGTGTTAGTATGCTATCCTAATCTCAATAATATTAACCAGAAAAGTCAAAACTATTATATTCCAGGGCTTCTGTGGACACCAGCTTCATGATGTCTTAATTGCTCCGGGAACAGCCGACCTCACAGCTGATGTGGACTTCAGTTATCTGCGCAGAATGGCCCAGGGAAAAGTAGCCTCTCTGGGGCCAGTAGAGCAACGGACGTTTTTAAAAAACATGGGCATTGATGTCCGGCTGAAGGTAATGGTTTATCTCACTAACATTAAGTATCTTCATTTAAAAAGTTATTTAGAGGACCCTCTACCAGCTTCATGCTGTGGTAGTGAGCAGAGCCTGGTGTAGCCTTTGCAGAAGGAAGAGCTGGGATGTGGCACAGCTTCCTGTGTTTCTATATGAGGTTGAGACTCCCAAGAAAAACATGCTCATGGGTCTGAATTTTATAGTTTTGTAACTCCTTTTCCAAGGACACTTCCATGTTCTTACAGAGCAAATCACCTGGGACATCTGCTAAAGATGCAGGTGTGTACATTTACAGATGTAAGCACCCCGTAATCACATCTGGGCCTTGCTCTGCTGGAGGACTGTAGTCACTGTTAGTGCTGCAGCGGGGAAGTCTTTCTGCAGTGTCCTGTGTTAAAGACCTTTCCCCCTCCAGGTTCTTTTAGATAAAGCAGATGAGGCATCCGTGAAGCAGCAGTTACTGCGGGGGTATGATATGTTAATGAATCCTCAGAAGATGGGAGAAAGATTCAACTTCTTTGCCTTGCTACCTCATCAGAGACTTCATGGTGCAAGTCAAGAAAGGAATGCCCGTCAGTCAAAAACCCCCACATCATCTGTAGCTGGGTTTGATGAACTTGTTTGGCAGTGATAGTTCAACATGGACTTTTTATACCTCAGTGTGCTTTAAAAATCAAAATAAAAGAAACTCATTTTGTATATTGAAGTTAATGTAATGTTCAAACTATTTATCTCTTTGCAGTCAATAAAATAGCCTCTTTTACATAAATACAATCAAAATGGTTGAATGTTCAAGGTTATAACTAACTCGTGGTACAATTGTTTGCAACCTAGTGACGTAGTTTATTGTGACATCAAATTTCCTTTAATGAAACAAGTTGCTGTATTTCTATTTACTTTTTAAAAATATACATGAGAACAGGTTGGTGTGTCAGAAACAGGAAGTAAGGTAAATGGAGTCAAGAGCTCTGGATATTATTTTTTACAGAGGGAAAAGCCATATATTCTGATAGAAGGATCTCTAAGGTTTAGCAAATGGACAAAGTCAGATGCAAGAGCTTCTCGTGTTGATCCTGGTCTTGCTGATGGAGAGAATTAAATGAACATGCTAATGTGACTTAGTGTCTGTTCTGTGGTGTGCACGTGCAGAGAGAGGATGAAGGACAAGAGTTGTTGGGAAGCAGGTGTCAGAAGGCTTAATCTGTGGGTTTTAGTACAGATTAATACTAAAATTTTAAAGGAGTAATAAATGTCATAGTAAAAAACCTGCAGCAGCTCTGATTTGTACTGAAATGAGTTTAAAGCAATACAGACTATCCAAGAATAATTTCCTAAGCTGAGTTCATTCTGTATTTTCAGATAAATGTAAAATTTTAGTTCTGTAATAAGTTGTCATCATTTTGGTACATAGAACTTTTATATTAATATTGTAAATGAGTTTTCTTGGGAAGGATTTATCAGTAGCACAACCCTCTAAGGTCAGAGGGAAACAGTATTAGCCATTTTTGTTTGGCTTGTTTTTTCAAGACAGAGTTTCTCTGTGTAATAGTCCTGGCTGTCTTGGAACTCACTTTGTAGACCAGGCTGGCCTCAAACTCACTGCCTCTGCCTCCCAAGTGCTGGGATTAAAGGCGTGTGCCACCACTGCCTGGCAGTATTAGCCATACAGTGGTGTGTCACTTATTCCTGCTCTTGACTGAGAATGGTGTTCCCGGTCTGTATCTTAGTCTATTAGGACAATGAGTGAGGCTTTAACTGCTGTGTGTGGTATATGCACACTTCAGCCACAGCACCTATGGTCTAGTAGGCACCTGGGCTCACATTCTGGGCACTACATGTGGAGGTTGATAGAGGGCATCTTTCTCTCCATTGCTCTCCACCTTCATATTTGAGGCAGAATCTGTGGCTCTGAAATCAGCCCCTTAATCTGGCCAAAGATCACTTGTCTCTGCCTTTCCCTAGGGTTGCAGGCAGGCTGTGGTGTCTGATTTTATGTGTGTGCTAGGGATCCAACCTGAGGCAGAAACTTTACCTTCTGAGCCGTCTTCCCAGCCCTGCTGTCTAAGTTTTTAGATGCCGTACAGTTTTAGGAATGGCCTACATTCCTAATTGCTCTATTCTATTTTATTCTATTCCTAGACTAAAACATTTAAAAGGTGAAATACCCACAGTTGACTTCTTCCAAATACATAATTGTTTTTAGCTTTTATAACTAAGAGGGAAGAGTCTAGTAGTGCATTCTATTTCATCTCTATTTCTTCTATCATAAAATTCTAGAAACTTATTTATTTTTTATTAGACATTAAATTTTTCTAAGTCTTCTGGTAGTTGCAATAGTTGAGTATCTGGAGTAGTTACTGAAAAAAAATTAATTATCATTGTTCTTCACAGTTGTATTCCAATAAGTGAACCTTCTAGATAATTATCTCAAATGTAATATTGAAATACCTTTTTGACAGGTTTTCTCTGTGGGGGGAGGTAGGTAAATACAATCAGTGCTCATCTAGCATTGGCTCTACGTACAAAACTGTTCTATTACCCAGACCCGGGGAGAATATTACAACCAAGTAAAATTCTCTTGGGAAACTTGTACTAGAGACTGGCTGCGGTTTTCACATAGGAAAGTATGGTGATACAGAAATACATTTTATTATCAAGTTTTGAGAATATTTACAAAAAGTGGGATGTAACAAAAAATATAAAATGTACGAAACAGTGTCATTATACACTACTTTGAAAATTATCACGTTTCTAAGAAACAATTACTTTTTATGCAAACACAACTTGGCTTTAAGACAAAGAGAAAAAGTTCTGCAGGTTAAACAGTGGAGTAGGTACTCAACGCCAGACCACCCGACAGTGCCGTGGCAGTCTCTCTCTTTAGACACACAGGCCTTCAACAAAAACAGAGTGCAATTCATGTCACGGCTTGTAGAGCCTGAGGATAGCATACAGCAGAACAGCCACTCCCGTGAGCTCGCCTCACAGCGGAGTGACGCACAATTGTTCCATCCTGTACGTGGTGGTCAAGCAGACCTTGCAGAAACGGAGGGAAGTCACCACCTCTCACAGGGAAAATTCATTCACAGACGTTCCTTAACAATAGTCTTCATGACTGCGGCATGAGAACAGGGACATGGGACATAGGCCTGGGTTCAAATTCATATTCAAACTCTATGACCTTTAGCAGCTAACCTTGTGCCTCAACTTCTTTAAATGCATGTAGTCATGTGGCAATTGTGAGGATACTTTAAAGCATCAAAACTTAACAACACAGAGGCAGCCTGTAGTGCTTCTGTTTCTTCAGGATGATTTTAATATTCAGTAGATCCCCGCAGCTGCTTTCTCATCTGTGAAGACACTTCAGTCTTGGTCCGCTCACACACAAGACTGTGTTAGTGGTAGCTGACCTGATCAGTGGTAGCTGACTACACTGACGGTTGTTCCAGACTGTCAGAGATGTTCACACATGCCCGTCTTCATGGCCACACCGTGGATGGCAAAGGCAGCAATCTATGCTCTCCATTCTACAGATGAGAAACTAAATGCTTAGACAAACTGTCTCCTGCCCAGCGCAACAAATCCAAAACATAGGAAGCTCAGACTCACACCCAGGTCCTCTGACTCCAAATCTCTGCTCTTAGCACAGAAAAGGGACAACAACAAAAGCCTACTCTTGGTGACTAGTGGGAATGAAAAAACAGATACCATCTTTCCTTTTCTTTGGGTAAAGCAGATTGGAACATCACTAATGTGAAAATCAGAAAGTGCCTCAGAACTCCAAAGTTTCTAGATTTTGGAGGATTTCAGATTTGTTAGTCGGGGATGCTCAACCAGTGAAGTATGCAGATCTTTCAGTATCTGGAAAACTGAAACCCTTCTGGTGTTCGACTGTTCAGATTAGAAATACCAAATCTGTATTAATAACTACTACGAAAGCAGCTGGCTGCTGGAGCTGAAGTGTAAGAAATTCTTACTCTTCCTTCATCTGCCGTACTCGTAATATGGTCCCGCCCCAGTAAACTGAACTTTCATGTCTGACTTCAACCCACTCCCCCAAAATGCTCAAAATAAAATGCTGATTTAAAAATTATAGATATTACAGATCCCATCAAAGGCTAGGGAAGAAGGAAAAGATACTGCCTGCTGTCTAGTGACATTTGCTGACACTTCACTAGCTTTCCTTTTAGTGTGGATTAATTCTATCTGTAAACTACTCAGCCCGTGTGAGGGTTAACTATGTAGTTAATCGCAGAGCTGTTCCCACTGGCTGTTGGCACACAGCTTGCATTACGATGGTGTCAACTGAGAACACAGGTGGTGAGTGATGACCGGCTGTATCTATTCATTTTGTAACACCAATTGTCCACTTATCCTAGTGGCTATTGCAACAGAGAAAAGGTGACAGTTTTTATGCCATACAGATCATATTTAAGGATACAGCCCCCAAAAGGTTAGCAGTACAGTGTTCCATTTGTAGGGACCCAGAAGAATCAATGCCTCCAGCAGGAGACAAATACTAAAAGTCCTTACATATATTGTTAGCCTCACAGCAATTGCTGAACTACAAACCTGTTGTGTAATCAGCCTTATAAGCAATAACTAGACAGTCACAGGCTTTTTAAAACAAATGATGTAGTAACAGCAAAGGAGAGATAAATTAAGTGCTAATTCACATTGTGTTAATGTGAAGGATTAAGGAAAATGACAGAACCAGTTATTGCTTATGCTATAAGAATTTGTAACAAGTTTCATTCTGACGTCATTATGTGGTTTTATTACACAGTTTCCCTTCATGTACCTACTCGTCATGAGCGACAGGACTGGTGCCACCAATCGTTCTGTTTCCCCACGCTGTGCCTCCTTGGGATGGCAGAGAGCAACAGTTGTGTAGCAGAGTATCTGTTCATGAATGAAATCCTTCCTCATTGAAGTTAGCCCACTGATAATTAAGGATCTTCTTCCATATCATCTGGATTGGGGGCCATAATGAAATGCTTTGGGTATTCGAGGTTGTGTGTGTATGCGTGTATTTCCCAGCGAGCGTCATCACTTTCGTGTGTAATGTAACGTTCTCCAATGCGAGTTTCAAATTCTCTGAGGTCAAGCCAAGTCTGATAATCCTAGGAAAAGAAAATGATTATGACCCATAAAATAGACAAATACCGCAGTCCCCTCTCTTGTTTACAGCCTCAGTGACACCACTGACAACTCCTACCCCTAAATTCTAACTGTATTTTACATTAGCAATGCTAAGGAAAAATCTTAAACTCTAAAGTCTGTATAAAGGAAAGGAACTAGTTTCTGGAAAATTCTCCTAGGCTTTTGAGCTAGTTAATAGTAATCACCACAAAGACATTTGCTTTATACAGCTAGAGGCATACATCTTATTACTGAAAATAGGGTCAAGTGTTTGAATCTATTATCAGGTTGACTTACTAATCGACGAGCCCAGAAGTGCATTTGTTTAATGTTACTTCTACTCCCTATTCCTATAAAATAGTTGTGCAGCTTCTCTGCTTACTCTCCAGTGTGGATTTTTGTCGAGACAAATCTCTAAAATAACTCATGGAGGAATCAAGCCAAATACAAACCTTTTAGTGGACGTTTAAAATAAAATATATTGAATAGTATGCTATGTTGACCTTAAAAAAAGGAAGGTATGAACAACTTAAAGCCTCACTGCTTCAGTTCGTGGGTGTTTAACTACCTGTCGACACTGACTTGAAGGATAGGCCACACCACTTCCAGAGACCTGAGCCTGACACGGATGACGCCTAAAGATTATCCTGAGAAGTGTGCTGAACTTGTTGCTCTCTGAGTGGATTCGCTAGTGAAGACAAACTCACAGGAGGCTAAGAAGGAGACACAATCTTTTTTTTCTTTACCTGTAGCCAAGGATGACTGAGAGATTTGTCGACACTGAAACGTTTTCTCATCTTCACTTGAAGCAAGTTGTTTATCAAATCAATTGCTAGATGAAAAGGCAAAAATTAGATATGACTTTAGGGGAACTGTTCTCAAACCCGTGATTTTGCCTGCAGGAGGGCAGTTTGATCCATGTAAACGTGGCATGAAGAAATTTTCACTTCTCTAGTAGATAGAATTTAACATGCAGAAGTGACCCACGTGAGAATGAACGCCGATTCTGATGGAGGAGTTGATTTCATTGGTTAATGAAGAAACTGCCTTGGCCCATTTGATAGCCCAGCCCTGAGGTGGGTGGAGTAGACAGAACAGAATGCTGGGTAGAAGGTAGTGAGGGCAGACGCGATGAAGCTCCAGCCCAAGATGGAGAAACTGAACCACTACAAAATCAAGGCAACTATAAAACTACACATTGATCACAGACTGCATAACGATGCATCTGGAATACAGATAAGAAAGCCCAGTTCCAAGTGGCAAAGGTTTTCCCTGAGTCCTTCATTGTTTCCATGTTTTAAATTCCTCACATCCTTGTCTGTCCTGCCCCTGGGCTCATGACCAGTATCAGTTTCAGGAGCCCTTCCATTCCGCCTGCTGAGTCAGGACGTAGGAAATGACTAAGCGATGACAGCAGAGGGCTGTGGGCCATACTGCCTGCCTTTAGAGCGCCGAGACAGCTTTGAGCTCCTTTTGTTACAAAGTGAAGCGCTGGCTGTTGTCTTTTCTGTTGTTCCTGACACTCCTTCCAGCTTAGTGGAGTATTTATTATCTGTCATCTGGCCCAGTATGTTTGGAATGGTAAAAAAAGACCTCATTCAATGGCTGGCTAAACCCAACTTGGGACATTCTGCAGCACTACTTCCACTACCTATGAGGGAGCTGTTTCCCAAGGATGGCACACTGCATCAGTGAACTTTATCCCCTTTCCTGCCTTTCTCCCTGAACCTTCCCTGAAAAAGGTCTTGTATAAGGCCCTGAAACCTCCACAGTACTGGGATTACTGTCCACCAACAGCCCTGGCTTATTCTTATCACACCCAGAAGCAGGCATTACAGATGGAAAAGCCTTCACTAGTCATGAAAACTACAGCACGGAGCTTCCTGATGGTAAGAGATCAGAGGACTGAAAACTGAACTGCAGATACAAAGGTGCGTTCTAAGTATCAAGTGCATGTGCTAATAGTGTCTAATCGAGGAGTTTACCATTGTTCTCAAGACTGGGATAACTAATCACCAAAACATGTACTGTTCGTCTAAGTAGATCTTACATAGCTTGGAGGAGGGGTAGGTCAGGAGGACTCACAGGCCAATCACAAGTAAGGAAGTCTCTGAAGAACTGCAGCAGTGAGAAGGAGGGGCTGCTGGCAGGGGGAAGACCTAAGCAAGATGCAGGAAAGAGTTTAGGAGAGAGTATATAATAGTTCTGTATAACAAGTGGGAGGTGAGGCTAAAAAGGCACTTAGCAAGGGCCACAACCGTGGTGTGGTTAAGGGGAAGTCAGAGTGGATGAAATGACCTTCCTGCAGACGGCGCGCCCAGTGACTGAGACATTAGGGAAGAAGCTAGTGGGCAGCACAGGTAGAGATAAGATAGTTCAGCAGTTTCTGGAAGAGGCTATTGGAGCCTGGGTGACAGCTGTGCCTGAAAATTATGAGAAAACTGAGACAAACTTTAAGAGTAGAGAGTTTGGCTTTGCATAGTGGTGCACAGATCTCTGAGTTCAAGGCCATCTGGGTCCACACGGGAAGTTCTAGGCCAGCCAGAACTACAAAGTAAGACCCTTTCTCAAAAAAAAAAAAAAAAAAAAAAAGTAAATTATAAGCTGGGTGGTAGTGGTGCGCCTTTAATCCCTTGGAAGGCAGAGGCAGGTGGATCTCTGAGTTTAAGGCCAACCTGGTCTACAAGCTAGTTCTAGGATGCACTCCAAAGCTACAAAGAAACCCTGTCTCAAAAAACCAACCCCCCCCCCCAAAAAAAGGAGTAATAATTAAAATAATAAACACAAGTAGAGTGGTTAAAGACTGGTAATGGATTAGGGAAATGAAATGAGGACCTGGAACTTGTTTCTTTTTTACCTTCACTGGAGATCTCTCGCCATGGATTTGGTGGGTACATAAACGCAGCATTTTGGATTTGGTCATTTATATCTTCATCTTCATTGAATGGAAATGTGCCGCTGAGGCTCACGTAGATGATGACTCCCACTGACCACATGTCTAGGGACCGGTTGTAGCCTTTGCTTCTGAGAACCTCAGGGGCTAGGTAGGCTGGAGTTCCCACCACTGACCGCCGAAATGACTTCTCACCAATGATGCGTGCAAACCCAAAGTCACACAACTTCACCTGGAAATTGAATGTGTAAAAGCTTATCAATACCTGTTCCTAGATACGTTCACTGCACTTAACCAAAGGTACTAATTATACACAAAACAGTTCTAGACAGGGAAACTGAAATACTTCCACAGAGGCAGACAGATACATCCATAGCTCTTGATATTACAGTAGAAAGAAGAGCTAGCCAATTGCTTAATTTAAAAACAATTTGTATTTCATTTTCCAGATTCAGGGAGCAAGGGTTCAGTTCTGTTGTTTTGATGAGATGGGTGGAGGGTGCTGATCTTCCTTCACTTTTAAAGGAGTCCCTTTTCTATCTCTATAATAGGAATTGTGTTTCAGTTTAGAATCCTCAATGGTCTTTCAGTGTCTGAGCATATAAAAGTGCTCAATAAATGTTTTGCTGCATGAAATATAAGCTACAAAATAAGTATTTTGAAGCATCCTTTATTTACTGACTCTTAGAACAGCAGTTCTTAACCTGTGGGTTGAGACTCCTTGGGAGGAGTCAAACAACCACTTCACAAGGGTTGCCTAAGACTATCTAGCAGGTCCTTCTGTTTGTGTGTGGCTGTCATTGGATAAACAATAAAGAAACTTGGCCTGATAGGGCAGAACTTAGGTAGGTGGAAAAGACAGAACAGAATTCTGGGAGGAAGAAAGCAGAGTGAGAGAGCAGCCATGGAGACGCCAGGTCAGACATGCTGAATCTTTCCCAGTAAGCCACGATCTCGTGGTGACATACGATTATCAAAAATGGATTAAGTCAAGATGTGAGAGTTAGCCAATAAGAGGCTAGAACTAATGGGCCAGGCAGTATTTTAATTAATACAATTTCTGTGTGGTTATTTTGGGTGTATGCTAGCCGGGCAGCCGAGACCAAAAGCAGGTCCTCTCTCCTGTTACAATCTATGTATCAGATATTTACATTACAATTCATAACAGTAGCGAAATATCAGTTATGAAGTAGCAACAAAAATAATTTTATGATTGGGGATCCCCACAACATGAGGAACTGTATTAAAGGGTTGCAGCATTAAGAAGGTTGAGAACCACTATCTGAGAATATCTGTTGCCCAGGAAGCTACGCATCAGTAAGTAAGTAAAACGAGGCTTACAGATAACAACATCTACAAAACCACAGCACAAACAGATACTGGAGAGCAGAGGGGGAGGCATATTCAAATGCTGCTTGCCGTTTCTAGTATATGCCCTATGATACATGTCTTGTGAATAACATTAACTGTATCATAACTGAACCTGGGACCCCTCTACTCAGAAATTTGGAGAGCATAGACCTTAAATGTGTGGTTGTGAGCCATTTATACACAATTAGAACCCCCTAAAAGTTTATTTCTTGAGACCTATTTATATCTAAAAATGTTTAATGGACTACAGCAATACAATAATAAAGTCTGAATTTAAATGATTCAGCTACTGATTCAAGCTGGCATTATAGATGACAAAGGCATGTCCTGAGTGCTCTGTTTTGTATTAGGAGGGTACTTTGTAAATGTCACTAACTCAAAATAGTTCTTAATCGGGTTCTGGAGAATGTCTCACCTGAGGAAATGGTTCTGCCGATGCAAGCAGCACGTTTTCAGGCTTTAAATCACAGTGCACAATATTCTTAAAATGTAGATTTCTCAAGGCAACAAGTATCTGTTAGGAAAACAGGTTTTGAGAGGAGCAACTGAGAGAGAGCAATGACAAGCAGGTATGAAAATGCCATAATGAACCCTGTTATTTTATATGCTAACCCAAGACCTGGAGAAACAGCATAAATGTTAAGAGCACAAGTTGTTCTTGCAAAGGACCCAGGTTCAGGTCCCAGGACCCACATGGCAGTTCACAACTGTTTGTAACTCCAACTCCATACAATCTGATGTCTTCTTGATCTCTAGGCATCACACATACACGATGCACACACACACACACACACAGAGGCAAAACACACACACAAAATTTAAGGGTGATTCTGCCCTTGCAAAGGGCTTTCTCTTAATGCCTAGGAAATGAGCTAAACTCTAAGATGAGTTCTTGAATTGTATGATAATCTCAAACTTACTTAATCAAGATGTAGTTAAAAGTATTGTTTCACTTTTATTAAGGCTACTAATCCTTAATTTCTCAATGGCAAACATGGTGCCATTAATTCTTAGTTTTGCTGGTTTCAAGGTAGAGTTAAAATACCTGTGTGACCATGAATTTAGTAACTCGCTCTGGAAGTCGACTTTTTTCACTGGACAGAATCATTTCCAACATATCTCCATGAAGTTTTTCCATCACTACGAAGACTCGTTCTGGGGTTTCAAACATACACTCCAGATTTACAATCCCAGGGTGGTGTAGATTCTGAAGAGAAGTGGCAGGGTGTTTGACCATTTTTAGTAAAGAACTAATCTTACCACGAAATCAACTGAAATACTGCGATGATTATACGAATACACAGCTCAGAAAGAAACAGTTTACTTTCACCCCTCCTCAAAGAAGCTTCTTTTTGCATTAGGTGAAGATCATTACAGAAAGGCACAGTTGATCCAAATTCAGAGACCAAGGGGTACCCAACACCAAATGACACACCTAAACCCAAGACCAGGAAGTCTGATGCAAGACAGTTTCTTCTATATAGGACAGGGATGCTGCATCCATGAAACTTCAATGATATGGTTGCCTTAACAAGACCTGTAAAATGACACTACCAGATGACATGCCAACATGGATGGGAGTAATCTCAGAAGCCCTACCCATAAACGAAGAACTACAGTCAAATCATGACTGCCATGAAAGGGACAATCAGTCTGCTACAAGGATGAGTCCCCGAAACATCCAATCCCAAGCAGTGAGTCCTAAACACACAAATATATACATACATATGTATACACACATACAAATCAAACCAGCAGATCGTATTTATAAATTTGCATGTATATATGTAATAATAATGAATAAAAAACTTTAGACAGTAAACTAAAAGCATATAAAATGAAAACTACAACAAGAATCACAGGAATTTTCCCCAGTTGTGTACTGAGAAGTGGTTCAGTGAAGGGAGGGACTGTTTGCAGTGTCTTCTGTTATGTCTCTTTCCAACAAGATGTCTTTGTATTTTAAAGAAATAGCCGAGGCTGGCTGCTTTACTTTTACACGCATTCCTACCTCCCAGACACAGAACTGACACCTGGATTTACTGTATTATTTCCTTTATTAATTCCATTTTTAATCTTTATAATTTCTTCTGCCTTCCATAGTCATCCTTTTCATAAATATGTATTTTAGCGTGTGTGTGTATCTGTGTCACGGCGTACATATGAAAAGTGGCTAGAGTATAAATTATAACACGGTTTCATTCAATTCATGTGAAACTTTATGTGGAATGCTCACTGACTAAATCTTCTAGAACCAATTTCAGTAAATAAAATGTGATTTGAAAATTTTGTTTTACAAAGAATTTGTGGTATAAGTTCACATTATTCTTTTTCTCACATTCAAAGAGTATTAAACTTCATCTTTAAAATATATATACATATAGATTTTGTTACGTGTTTACACACTGCCAGGAGACCTAAAGCCACAATTTTGAACACACACACCCCCTCTCCCAAATAAATAAGTTTATAAGAAGGGAGGGTATCTGGAGACACCCTAAAGTCACCAAATACCACTGATGTAAACAACCAGAATTCACTGTGTGCAATAACTGAAAATCCCTAAATTCAATACTCAGTCGAGGGCTCTGTTTGTGATCAAAGTCAAAGAGAAATAAATCCTTAGATATAAACCCCCATTTTATTGTTCTACATATTAGTTGGACAGCAACACTTCAAAATTAAATATAAGAAGACATCAACAACATACTCACACATAGCTTATGTAAATGCTACTAATAATCTACCTGAAGTTAGCTTGTTGGAAGCATGGCTTGAGACGAGCTTAGGTACCTGCTGACCAGAAACTCTGATTATCATTCCACTGTTCCTTACCAGTGATGATAACGCCAGAAATGAATCATTAATCATTTGCTTAAACACTTCTCTCCTTCAAAGGAGCCTAAGTGCAGCAGACTATCTTAATTCCACACACAAGCAGATGGAGGGTGGAGAGCATTAACTACTTACAGGGGTGTTTCTTCAACAACATGGAAAGCCACACAATGAGCTAACGGGCATTTGAGTATGATTATTATTCACAACATTCAGAAGATAAACCATCAAGCTACATAACTCCCAAAGGAGCTAAAGATAATAGGTCAAAAGAAAAATACAAGTACTTTATTTTATGTGATTTACATTCTTGCTAGCAAAACTTCAAAATATATTTTAACAAGTTGAGTATGTTGGTGCATATCTGTATTCCAGCACTCATGAGATGTAAAGCTGCAGGGTCACCATGAGTGTGAGACTATCTTGGGCTACACAGCAAGCCTTGACGTCGAAAAACCAAGACAACAAAAATCCCAAATAAACCAAAATAAACGCCACAACTTTTAATGAAATAATACAATACAAGTAACTTTGAATTAATAGAGTAACACATTACGGTTAAAAGGCACACTTTTAAAACCAGTGTTTATTTTTTATAGTAATTAGTATATTCACATTATTTCTAAGAATCTGATAAATAAAATAATGACATAAAAATACAGCAAAAGTATTAGTATCCCTGAATGAATTACGACTGGATACTTCCTATCTTTAGAGATTTCACTCAGGAAAAAAAAAATCTAATCAAACTAGTATTACAGAATAAAATACTAAAACAAGCCTCCTTTAAACTTTTAAACATTATTGCAATCTTTTAAAAAAAAGGACCTGCACTGTTCAGTATTCAAAACATCAAAATCAGCCTCCAAACCTATCCTTATCAGCATCATCAAAAATATTCACTCAGAAATCAAAACTCAAGTCTATGTAAGCCATTTTAATTTTTTTTTGTTTTGTTTTTACCTGTAAAATAGCGACTTCATTCCGGAGTTGACTTTCTTGCTTTGTGGGGAATCTCATCTTATCAATTACTTTAATAGCCACATCCCTTCCAGTCTTTCTGTGTTTTCCTGTTCAAGAACAGAACAGAATCAAACGGGCAGCTATGGCAGCTATATCAGAACAGGAAAGCTTTACTGGGACGTTGTTCAGACTGAAATTTAATGTATTTACTCTTGCATTTTCTGTTGCTCATTTTCTTTTCTACAGTCTTAAGAAATGAGATGCCCTGTAATAAAGGCAATTTCATGACCTGAAACGTCTAACATCTTCGTGAACTTTCTTGCTGAGAAGTAACAGACTATGTTAAATAAATAAGTTTTTAAGTGCCCTAAGTCTTCAGAGACTGTCAAGATGGAAATAATGTATTTTATTTTATTTAGGTTCACTAACTTTATTTAACTTTATTTTTAGTTAGGTTCAGCAGAGTGATTACGTTATAGCCTCAAACTCCAGATCTTTATATTTTAGACATAAAATAAGTATGTAATAGTATCTCATTCATTCATTAAAATGAATTAGTTGCCTTGTATTTATTAAGTGAGGTCACTGTTTAAATGCTACAGTTTAAGAGGTGAAAAACAGAAGATATATTTATTTATTAGCTCCAGTTAACACACAAGTGATTGGTTTTCTACTAATCTATTAACTTGAAAATTACAACTGTTTTAAGGACACAGGCCCCAAAATGTGACTGATTTAAGAGGGCATGTTTGGAAAGATGCCAGCAGTACTTCAGACCATTTTCTCTTCCTTCAGTGAGGTCTTACAGAGACATCACTAGTCTAAAAGGGACAAATTTGAAGTTACAAACCAGTGTTGTGTCTATGTGTAAAACTCACATGTTTTCTGTGTAAAACATAATGGCAGATACTGGGAATACAAGGAAAGCCCAGAATCTCTAAAGCTACCTTCAAAGTTCAGTAGGAAGATGAGAGAAACCCAAAGTGTTACATGCACTACAGCATAAGGATGTGGCAGGAGCACCATGGGAGCACACTGCACTTACTCCATGAAGGTGGGATGGGGAGAAAGCACATGAGCCTGCAAACAAAGGAATGTCCACCAGAGGAGCACAGGATGGAGAAGGGCAGAGGGGCAGTCCAGAGGTGTGCAAGTGTGACTGGAAGAAGTAAAAAGGAACTTCGGTTAGAGTGGAGGCTACACAACAAGAAGAGAGTGACCACAGAGAGAGTGGGCTTCGGGATGTACGAATGCTAGTATCAGATGTTGATTTTCTGAAAGGCTCACTCCAAGAGTGTGAAAGAAGGGTCCAACCAAAGGAGGAAGCAAGGGATGGCAAAGAGTTGACATTCTATCTTGGATTATTGCTAATAAAGTACTTTCATGTACACCTTAGTTCTAATTCCAGTAAGTCTATGAGCAGTGGATTCAGTTTCCTAGTTTCATCAAGCAGATGAGATACTGAGACACACGGAGGCTAAATAGTTTCATCAGCACCCTTTACCACAGAGCATAAGGAGTTCAGATATTCACCAGTTGTGGTGGCACATGCCAGCAGGACTTGCTGAAAGAGGCAGAGGCAGGAGAATCATGAGCTCGAGGCCAGCCTGGGCTACACATTAAAAAAAAAAAAAAAAAGAGTTCAGCTAGTCAGACCTGATAGAAAATTCATGTCAATAGAAAATGAATACTGCTTCGCACTGGAAACTAGTGGGGAGCATACTTGAGTGAACAGTCCACACAGCCCAACACTAACACATCTTTACATGTGATCTTTAAGAAGAGGGAGACTTACTATAAAAATAATTTCCTGATTCTGTTACTTTTAGAATTTTCCAACTGAAATGAAGTGATACTGTTTTACCAGAAAGGACTTAGTTAAGAGGATGCAAGCCAACCTTTGAGGAAAAGGGAGCTTAACAAAACTGTGAGCTACAAGAATAACAGCCGTCTTAATAGTTACAGTTTAGAAACCACACATATAAAAGGCTGTACTTGCTTACCTCCATAAACAATGCCAAACTGGCCAGAACCAAGCACCTCATCTGCAAAGATCTGGTAAACACTGCTGATGTCCTATCAAGGAAGTAAGCAAATACCATAAATGTCTCTGAATCATATAATTAAACACATTTTTTATATTTATTTATTATGTATACAATATTCTGTCTATGTGTACGCCTGCAGGTTAGAAGAGGGCACCAGACTCCATTACAGATGGTTGTGAGCTACCATGTGGTTGCTGGGAATTGAACTCAGGACCTTTGAAAGAGCAAGCAATGCTCTTAACCTCTGAGCCATCTCTCCAGCACCCAATTAAACACATTTTAATTTTTATGTTAGAGCAAAAAGTTTTCTATGCTGATCCCTGGAGGTTGCTGGTCACCCAGTTTGCCTAACCAGTCAGTGAGCCCCAAGCTAGTGAGTGAACATACGTACGCATGCGCACACACACACTCAACAGGAATGATGACTAAGTTTGCCCTGGAACCAGTTTGCCTAATCAGTGAGCCTCAAGCTAGTGCAAGAACACACACACACATAGACACAGACACACAGACACACAGACACACACGGTGAAGGCTGTTTGACAGGAGGAATGATGCCTGAGTTTGCCTTGGCCTCTACATCTCTACATATACAAATACACCTAGACCCATATCCAAAATCAACACCTAAATTTACACTGAAATTGAGATGTGTGTGAAATTCTAACACAAATCCACTCACTCAATGCTCCTCCCTCCTCTTTTTTGGTTACTGTTTGCTGCTCTCAGAACATTCAAATACTAACGTGGAGTGTGGAGCGCCAGAACTGCATTATGGGCACGACTGGTAAAAGGTGAATATATAAGCCCATTTAACATATTCAAAGCTTCAGCCTTGAAGCAAACACCAGTGAATGTGTATATGCATATATGTTAAGTTGTAATAAAGACTTTAAAGGTTGTAAGAATCATTTGTATAAGCTTATCAACCTCAATTCAATTTTTAATTTAAGTGATGAAATTTTGGTTCTAAACCAATGAGCCAAGGGGCATTCAAAGCAAATGAGGCCAAAGCTGAATCTTTCCTGCTCAGCCATGGATGCACATCTCTCTAGGCTCCTGAGGAGTCATCCAGACGTGTCCTCTCACATTCTTAGGGTTCCCCTTTCTCTGCTCAAGGTGGAATTTATTTTAGACATTACCAGGGTGACACAGGGGTTATATCTCCTGATGCTTATTATCTCTTCCTGACTAGAATTCATTCTCGACTCCATCTCAGAAAGCCCCACGCTTCTGTTAGAACACTATAATAGCTTGAAACTCCAGGTGAGAGAGGTTCTTATCCGAGAACAACACAAAACGACTTTATAGTATTTCCGTTTGTTTCTTTCAATCTGATCCAAGAGGTAGAAAAGTATGGCTCCTGGCTCTTCCCCTGTGGCTTAATCCATGGTTAAGTTTTTAAAATAACTGGACAAATCAAAGTAATAATTTGTGATATGTGAATAGCATGAGATTCATATTTCAGTGCCACACATTTATTAAAATAGTCACACTCATTCCTGTGTAGGTATTTGCTAAAGTGGCCAAAGTTGGGTAGACTCTACCATGTAACTATTTAATATCTGGTCCTTTACATAAAGAGGCTGTCATACTGCTACAAAAGTTAGTGTGCTTACACACAGCAAACTTAATCTACTCACTGAGGGTCCTCCATTTGCTTTCTATGCATGCATGAATGTCTCCCAGCTCACTCCCTCAAAACTGGGCTAACCCAGTCCGTCCTCTGAGCAGAGCTCAGGCTGCACTTCTCCTTAGGAAGCCTTCTCTGTGATCAGGATAAAGGAACTCCACCTCATGACAAAGCGCACCACTGTGTGGTTCTCATGCTACCTTAATTTCTAACCTAAAGCAGAACTGCTAGCTCAGGACAGCATGACTACAAAGTTTAGCTTTGTATCTTAGCAACTGCTCAGTACTTGGGGACATAGACTTAATCCTGGTAAGACTTTCACATTAATTTCTTTGTTTTAAATATCTGGCCTGCACATATTGGATCTAATTATTGCTTACCACATTCTCCTGAACCTGGGAGTTAGATACGGAGATACTGATGGCCAGATCTTCTGTAAAATATAAGAATGAAATGAGAAAAAGCACAAAAATTAGTATGTGACTTAATATAATTTACTAGCATGAAAATCAATAGTGTATTAAACTTAAAAATACATCAATACAGATAATGTATTCAATAAAATGTTATATCAATACTAATCTACCCACAAGAACTGAGTAAATAAAATGACAAATCTATATAAAATAATACTCTAAATATTTAGTAAACAACATAGAACCATAACTATGGAGTCAGAAAACTAGCCATGATGTCATATTATGGGCAGCGTTGGCATGGATCAGAAATAGAGCATTTGTCTATTATGTGAGAAGTGTAAGGCCCTGGATTCAGTTACCAGCACTGTCAGAATCAAATGAAGAGAAAACAAGCTGTAGGGTAGCAGGGTCTGAATTAAAAATAAAAATGTTACTTCTGGGGAGTGAGTGCTGTAGGCTGGGGAATGAGGACTGTAATATTTATATCTCTATTCTGCTTATACTGTTTTAAAACTGTAGTGGATTTTAATTGTATTTTAATAAATAAAGACTGCCTGAAGATCTGAGAGTAAAACAGTCCCACTGGGTTGCCTTACAGACCAGATTATGGTAACACGCACCTTCAATCTCAGTAGCCACAATGACATACACCTTTAATCCAGTAGCCACACTAGTTGCCATAGAAACTGGGCGGTGCATGCCTTTAATGATAGTGGTGCACACCTTTAATCCCAGCCCTAGAGAAGATTATAAAATGGGAGGAAACAGCTCTCAGAACACACTCTCCTTTTGAGATTCCAGGAAGTAGGATCTCCATTTCAGACTGAGGTCAAGACAGTGGCTGGCTGTTTTGCTTTCTGGATCTTTAGGTTGAACCTCAATTTCTGACCCTGAGCTTTTATTAATCGTGCTTCATAAAATATAAAAAAAAATGCATCTGGAGATGGTTCAATGATTAAGAACACTGCCTGTTCTTAAAGAGGACCTGGGTTTGAGTCCCAGCACCCACAGGGTGGCTCACAATAATCTGTAGTTCCAGTCCTAGCAGATCTGATACCCTCTTCTGGCCTCTGAGGGCAATCATTCACATATGTAGTTCATAGACATACATAAAGGTAAAACAGTTGTGCACATTTTTTAAAAAGCTCTCTTAATTTTCACTAAAAAGCTTAAATTAGATAAATTTATACAGTGGTACTGAAGTATACCATTATGTAATCCAGACTGGCCTGAAACTCTCTACAAAGACCATGTTGGCCTCAAAGACATACACCTGCCTCTACCTTCTGGAGTTCTGGACTTGAAGGAGCATACCACCACACCCTGAAAGTAATTCAGATCTTTAAACAACAATCAGGAAAAGGCACAAACAGAATTAACGTGTCTGCCACTGCCTTTCAGTGGCCAGTTTCATTTTTTCTCCATGGTCTTGCTATCTGGATTCATCCAGTTTTAATTTCTATAGGTTCCAGACTGGCTATTGTATAGATGGCCAGAGGAACAAAGCAGGAGCAATACTAGGTAAGTGCCAGGCACTATGCCAAGTACACTGTGTACATCTATTTTTCTTCCCACTTTAGATGACAGAGTCCAAGATCACACAGCAAAGTAAGCAACAGCAATGAGTCTACATTCTCCTACGATTCTGCCTCAGAGATTTTGAATATTAAAAATAAAATGTGTGTCTCTATCATTTCTAGGGGGAGGGATCTTAGTTTTGGTTAAATGTTATTTTGTCTAAATCTTCCCAGAACTTAAATACTGTTAAGTATTTACCATCCACTTCCCTATCCTGTCTCAGGTCACACTGAACAGCAAGGATACACATGACTACAACCTTCATCCTTCTGATTACCCCTGTCTCCCAAGTGAAGGCAAGACTACCTCCTCTCCTTCCTCATTCACCTCTGCCTATCCTAGTCTTGACTGCAGCCCAAATTCCAAACCGTAATTTCTATTATGAAATCTCTACTTTTCCTATCCAGATCTCAGTTTCCACAGCGAAGCATTCCTTATTTGGTTCCTGTACTGTATTTTGCTACTTCCTAACACCCGTATAAATCATATTCCCTTAAATAGCTTTTATTATTTCTCTTCTGGATTTTAGTTCAAGGCCTAACATAACGCACAAAGCAGTTGCATAAAATAATATAGGTAAACTGAGATACACTTTATTTGGAAAGTAATTGATACTTATTTCAATATAATGAATGAGTTATGTTTCTCTATAATTCTCTATAGACATTATTACAACAAGGTAAAAGTGATACTATATGATAATTTATTTACTATTATTCATTCAACCTTTATTTAACTTGGGTTTAATTTTATAACTTGTGTTGGTGTAATACCCTCTCTCACTCTCTCTGAGACAGAATATCACTATGGCCCTGGCTGGCACTCGCTTTACAGGCCAGGCTGGCCTCTAACTCATAGATCCACATGTCTCTGCCTCTCCATTGCTGGAATTAAAGTCATGTACCACCATGGCCACCTCAGTATCATTTTAATTTCTGTCCTAATTAACTTAAAAGTAACATCATTGTGACTTAACAGGTTTTATGTGTATAATGTAAACACAGTACTTTATTACAGATTTATATGCCAGCAGGAAATAAAGTACCAACACTTAATCGCATGAGACTTCATTGATGCTAAGTACTGTAGCACTGTTCTTTATCTGGTTCCACTTAACAATAACAATTCTACAAAGTAGCTACTATTATAGAGGCAAAAAAAAAAAATACCTATCTCAGATCGGACAGAGAGCAGGCTGGTAGATGCAGAGCTTAAATGTAAGGAGATAAATTCTGTAGGCAGTTGTGGCTAGACACTGAGTCGTCACTCACATATGTATTCATGCATATGTACATATGAATGACATCCAGTGTAACTTTATGAAATCATTATCTAAAATGGTATTTCCTATTAAAGATAGAACTTAAACATTAAAAATGCAAAATAGAAAAAGAAAAAAAGAGCACAGCCACTCAAGTATATCACAAATGCTCAAGACAAGGAGAAGCCACCAAGGTATTTCCACTTACTGTGGTCTTTCCCTTGACCTGGAGAAGTGCAAACACTCGCTTGAGGAGTTACAGGCATGAGGGCCTGGCGAATTGCTTTTTCCCAGCTTTGTGCTACATCGAGTCCCACTCCAGTGGCAGCGAGAACAGGGTTGTGAGAGCTGCTCCCATTGTTCTCCCCAACAAAGTACACCACAGTATCAGTGATGATTTCAAAACAGTGTGGGTTACTGCCTTGTGAAATGCTGGTGAAATCTTGAGGAGAAGATATGCGGAGAATTTCTGAAAGTGGGATTTCCTGAAATAAAAGTTAGTCATTGAAAAACTATGAATACATACTATACTTGGTTTTATTCTTTAAATACACTAAAGAATCAAAGATAAGCATGTTTATGAATGCCACTAAGACCAACACAGTATACGGCATATGGATTACATTATGGTATGTCTGTCTTAAGTGTCCAGCAATGCTAGAGGCAGCACATACAGTATTAGAGACTCAGGGCACAGGAGATGTGTAATGTGCTAGACAGGCAAGCATGAGGACCTGTCAGATTCCCAGAGCTGGAGGGTGGCAGGCAGGGACAGATGGATCTCCGGGAGCTCATTGGCTGGCTGGTCTTTCCAAAATAGTGACCTCCAGACTTAGTGAAAGATCCCATCTTAAAAAATAAGGTAGAGGGGCTAGAGAGATGGCTCAGTAGTTAAGAGCACTTTCTACTCTTGCAGAGGACTTGGGTGTAGTTCCCACCCACATGGTAGCTCACAACTACCTGTAATCCTAGTTACAGAGGACCCAATACCCTCTTCTGGCGACTATGGGTCCCAGGCATGCACACAGTGCATATACACAGAGATAAAACACCCATACACATAAAAAAAAGATCTTATACTTCAAGAAAAAGTAGACAGAAACAAGGAAGACATCTGACATCCATCTCTGTTCTTGCATGTACCTGCAGATGCAATGTGTATGCACGGGTGTACATGCATGTTCACACACAAACACACATATACATAGACAGTGAAATAAGGGAGAGACTTGGGGAGGAGCAGATCATTAGGACGCAGGCAGAAAAGCATATGGAGGAGGTAGTTTTCCTCCATATCCAACACTCGTCACCTTCAATGAGTCAGTGCCACTCAATAGCTGTGTCTCTGTGACTGCTCTTCTACAGGCAATACCCTTAAGCTGAGCAAGAAAAAGAATCCCGGGCAGTGAGGTTGCTCATGCATTCCTTCTAGTCTATACGTTGGCCTAAACCATCAATTAGTTCAGTCCAAATATTAGGCCAAAAACCATAGGCAATTCAGCTTTTTTAGTCTGTGTGTACGTGAAATGGAGTTGAAGAGCAGCTGTTCCAACAAGGACCTAAAATGACCACTGTAAACTATATTAGGCAGTCATAAGGATATTCACATAAATATGAAGTTAACCATATAAAACTTGACTGAAAAACCAGAAAATACTATTATAAAATGCAAAACCCTTACCTTATAATATTTTGATCCAGATTCATTTTGAAACAATGTTAGACATTTGCTATCAAGTCTCCAATAATGCCTCTTCCTCTATTAAAAACAGAAGTTAGAAAATGTGGTTCAAAAACTACTCCTTCCAAAATACTTGCACTTTCCCTTGAGTATCCATTCCTCTACTTTGAGTAGGCTTAAACAATGGGGCTTGAAATTCCAAAATATAGAAAAGAAACCTAGTGAAAATTACCACTCTCACAGTGACTCCCATCCTATCCTACTCTTCCCCAAGCAAGCTATGTTGTTAGGTCTTGAGGGACCCTTTTGTAGACAGTCACACAAACGTCTATGGATTATTTACATGCATAGATTTATGTAATTGACTTATATGCTAAATTTCTCAAAAGATAGACACAGAGCTTCTTCCTGAGCACCAACAGCCAAGTGGTTCTCAGGCTCCAACCATCTTGTTTACCCAGTTCCCGGTGCCTACAGGTAAGGGCTTCCAGGATGCAGAGCCCCCAGACCCACACTTCTCCAGTTCCCCTAGCTCCAGCTGACAGACCTGGGATGCACTTAAGCCAGGTCAAAGGTTTCTCAACTGGTCAATGTGCTGAGAACAAAAAGACTCAGTTCTAAACAGGACATTGATATTTAGCCAATCACTACCAGGGCTCAGACATCACACAGCAGGCATAAAGAGCCAGGTTGGGAGGAGCCCTGTGAAATGCCACCTTCAGGGAATGGCACGGCTTTGCAATCATACTCATAGCAACTGTGGTTACTCTGCACAAGACTAAACCAGATCAAGCCAGACAAAATCCTGGTATAGGTGGAGTGGATGATCCTTAGGTTTCTCCCCTTAATGAGGAGTCGTTAATAGTGGACAGTTGCTGGGAGAGGGGGAATAATTCACTTCTTTTGAGGATATGGACGCTGGTAGGGTTTGCATACTCCAGTGGGTGGCCATATATCCAGGCATTTATTGGTAGTATTCATTAACTTGACTTCGTGTTTATTATACACACAGAAAGACATGAAGTTGAAAGGGTGATGTGTTGGGGGACATGGGAAAAATGGAGTAGATATATTTCACTGACTGTATACATATATGAAATCCTTAAAAATACAGAAAAAATTAAAAAGATATAAAAACTGTTTTGATAGTGTTTTATTTTACATTTGACTTGACCTGATTTAGTTGTATCCCTAACACAAAGGTGACTACTCAGACCAGTGGTTCTCAACCTTCCTAATGGTGTAACCCTTTAATACGGTTCCTCATGTGGTGACCCCCAATCATAAAATTATTTTCATTGCTACTTCATAACTATAACTTTGTTTCTGCTATGAGCTGCAACGTAAATATCTGTGTTTTCCAATGGTTCTAGGCGACCCCTGTGAAAGGGTTGTTTGACCCGCAAAAGGGTCATGATCCACAGGCTGAGATTCACCGACTTTCTAACTGCACTGTATTATGAAAATTTTGATTTCTGATGTACCAAAAAAAAAAAGAAAATTGTTATGTCAGTGCAAATTGAAGTTAATATTTCTTTTATTACAAAGAAAACCACACTTTATGTATAAGAGTAATTTTATTTCCCTTTCTGTGATTTCTCCTTTCTTATTAATTTGCCTTTTTATTGGGTTGTAGTATTTTTTATTGTCAATTTGTTGGCTTTACTCACAATTCTTGATTAGTTCTTATTTAAAGTGTAAGTTGAAATGCCCTTTTCAGTTTGCCATTTGTCTTGTCTTCAGGTTGCCATAGAGAATTTCTTTCATGAGATTGGTTAACTGATCTCCCCTCTCCAATATGGTCTTTATAAAATAACTCTTCCATGTTTCTTCTGGTGGTTTAACTTGAGACCATTTAAGTCGTTAATCTATTTAGTTTTATTACATGTAAAGTGTGATTTATGTTATAGTCATTTCCACCCCAAACAGCTATTTGGTTATCCCAATACTATTTACTGAATTACCCATCATTAGACATACCAGTAAACTCTCAAAATGTGTGTTTATATTTTTTAAACTCCGGCTGAAAGGACACGAATTATAAACAAACGGAAAAATACTCAGTCATAATCTGTACTGCTGGCACCATATGAAAACCTTACTGAAACCACCTAAATATATTAAACACTTTGTATGTTTTAAATATTTTTATTTTTTGAGCATTTTATAGATGCATATAATGAATTTTGATCATTCTTACCATCATTATTCCCCCCAACTCTGTCCAGTTCTCACACCCACCTCCCCAATTTTGTATCACCTATAGTTCAACTGGTGCCACCCATAAATTCCTGGGTATGGGGCCATTGAAGATGCATGGCTGACCTACTAGGAGCCATAACCTTAAAGATGATCAAGTCTCCCTCCCTCAAAGCCCTTGGCTAGAACAGGAGCTTGTGAGCTGGAACGGTGACCGGCTTGATCTTGTACAGGTAGCCACAGTTGCTGGAGGTCATGAACACAGCAGTTTCAACATGTCCAGAAGACACTGTTCACTTGGGTCCTCCCCAACTCTGATTCTTACAATCTTTCTGCCCCTCTTTTGCAATGGTCCCTGGAGTCTTGGGGAGAAGAGCAGGTCTGATGTGACTGAACACGCCATAGAAACTTACTTTCTGGGATGTGACCAGTGGCAAGTTCCTGCGTTAACTGTCACCCTCTGCACAAAGAGACTTCCCTGAGGAGGTCTGAACACTGCAGCAATCTAACTTTGTATTGTTCTTAAAAGACTTAAATACTCAGCAAATTTTAATGGCTACTGTTCTGACTGCTTACTATATGCCAAACATTGTCCTAAGCTCTTCTTATATATACTGGCTCATTTGGATGTACAAGAAAGTACTACTATTACACAGACTTTATAGACAGAGAAACGGAGGCATAAAAAGAAGTAACTGTACCATGTTTACAGTTTTGGTGACAGACTTACGAGGGCCTAGCTCTGAAGCCAGCATTTTTGACGACTCTACTCTGCTGTCTTCCTCTGCCGCTCGACTAAACTTTACAATTCCTCCCTTTTGCTTACACTGATCCAAAGAGAACATGCACATTTACATTGCTTATACACATAAAACAGTTGTTTCCTACCTTACTATAGATGACTATTCAAATGCAATTCCAATTTTTTCCATCTTTAGCTAGAATCATTACTCATAACTTTTACACATTTCTATATTGTATATAATGTCTCAATATATATTTCATCCTTAATTTTAAAAGGCATAAAGTAAAAATCGCTATCCAGTTTTACTAGCACATCCAATTGTAGGTGATTACTGACCAGGTTATCCCTGCTGGTATAATGGACCATCCACCCTTCCTTCACCATTGTGCTGCTCTTCCTCTTTGTGTGCTTGATGGACTGTACAACCCTCATCAATGGAATATTATTGCTGGTGGATGGACTAAAAAATATTTAAATTTATGATCAATATTTTCAGTATCTGTTTATAAAGTATCATACATACTATATATAGCCTCATCAAAATTTTCAAAGATTACTGAGCTAATGTTTTTCAAAATATTATAAGACAACGACTTAAGAAGAAAATGAGTTAGTCTTGTTACACTGATGCACAGTTAGCGTATCAAGTTCCTATAACACTGTAACTAAGAGTTTGTCAAGATCTTTTCTGGAAGGCCGTGGACACACATGAGAGGATAGGGAAGGGAGGGGAGATGACGGCTGCAGCAGAAGGATCTTCCAGTCAGGTGACCTGGAGCCTGGGGAATTCATTTGGGTTTGCTGTTGAGGAATTTTCTTGCCCTAGGCAGAAGAATAAATTCATAAAGCAAAACATGTTTACTCAACTTCACTGGGTTCAAATTTCAAAATTAGTAATCAGTTGATCATATTAAAGAAAAATGTTATTAAGAGAAATTACTTATAGATATTAAGAAAATTAAATATTGTAGTAAGTAAAATCAGGTCAAGTAAAATTGTATCTGGAGAAAACGTGCAATTTGGTGTATGTGTATGAAAACATCTCAGGAATGCATTCTTCGCTGCTCATTTCACCACCTGGTAACCTGTATGTGTGAAGAAACCGGGTTGTTCCATTAATGATTTAACACTGCCTTGAGGTAGCTGCTCCATAGATGGATATTTTATCCAGACTATTAAATAAAGTCCTCTTCTTTTCAAGAACGTAAAAATTCTTGTACTTTCTATCTTGAGTAGATAGCAAAAGTGATAGAACTTATTTTAGTGGTGCATGCAAAAAAGAATTAGCCTATTTAATTAGATTTTAAATTACATTTAAAATTCCACTTAAAGAAATGCCACCTTTCCTTAATGGAGATGCTGACCTGCCTTTGCTCTTGGCAGCAGCTTAGTGTTATTACCTGATTGTCTTAACAGTCTCCTCATCTCGCTCCACGTCAACGTCAGTCGGGTCCAGGAAGAACATTTTGTCTTCTGGTGGGGATGGCTCCTCTGAGTCATCTAAGCCCCTGCTACCGTCGCTGTTCACATCGTTACTGTCAATATCCATGGGTATATCTGCATCAGTTCCCAGACTGGAAGGCTCTAGGAGAGTTTTAAATGAACTGCAGTTTAATATTGATAGAGTATCAATGCATTTAATCAGATCAGTCTTAAAATTAACTAGGAAAAAAGTTTTAAAACTTGAGAAAATTATCCTTGAAGATTCAAGATGAGGGAGTCTTTGCTTGTTTCTTACTTTTTTGTGTGCTGGGGATCAAATCCAAGGCCTTGCAAATTCTAGGCAAGAGCTTTATCACTGAGAAAGTATATGCAGAAAACATCAGATAAGGGAGTTGTATTCAGAATACTTACTGAAATTCTATAATTCACTAATAAAAGATAAAACATTTATTTAAATGCTGATGGGCTGTAAGCCAGCACAGTGACTTTGGAAGGCTGGCAGGTCTTCAGGATGTTAAACAGTCCCTGCCCAAGTTAAATGAAAACGTGCCCACAGAAGTAATACTAAAGTGCACAGTGACAGTATCCCTGACACCCACGGAGGTACACCTCAGACACCCACTGACTGGTAACTGCAAAAATAAACTTTGGTTATTTCTCTGAGAGTGGTATCATTTGTCCATAAGAAGAATGAAATACTGAGATAGTTACAGTGTATATGAACTCTGAAAACATTATGCTAACTAAAAGGAGATACTCATTAGCCTACATATTTATTATATAACTGTATTTATACACAATTTCTAAAATAGACTAACATAAAAGTAGAAAGTTGTGTACTGGCTGCCAGAGGCCATTGGAGAGGAGATGAGTGGGACGGGACTATGAACTACATAACTGTGGAGGGAAATGAAAATTCCTAACATTAGACAGAGGAATGGCTGCCTAACTTTGTGAATATAACAAATGGGTAAACATAAAACAAACAAGCTAGATCTCAGCAAAGCTGCTAAAAACAAAGTCTATCAAATCGTTATGCCACCTATAAATGAAAGAATTATTAGTATGTCAAATTAGAAAAAAATAAGGCATTTGAACAGGCAATGCAGTGGGGGCTGGGGTATACAAATAACAAAACAAATACTTGAAAGATGTTCAAACTCATAAGTAAGCGAAGAAATGCAAATTAAAATGAAAAAACATTGTTTAAAATCCACTTATTAAAAGGTAGAAAATCACAAAAAAAAAATGAGTTAACTATAAAGCTAGACAAGACTTTAGGCATGGGAAAAACCAGTGATACTCTACCAATGATGTCAACTAGCTATGGTGTAAATGACAGGTTTTACCCAAAACCTGTGTATTAAATCTACCTTCTAAGGTAATGGTATCCAAAGCCTTCGGGAGGTGATCAGTTGCGAAGGCTCCTATGATGTGCATTGGTGCTCAAAAACCCTCTTTGCACATTCCAGCATGTTACCATGGAGCTAAGTGGTGTCTTCCATGAACCAGAGGGAAGACTCCTGCCAAACTCAGAATCTGCTGGCGTCCTGGATTTCTCAGCCTTCAGAACTACGGGAAATTAGTTTCTGTTGTTTACGAACTACCCCATCTATGATATTTAATACCAGACCCAAGACAACTGAGAGCCATGGAAAATACACAGAAAATGTTAATTAGATTCTCAAGGAGTTGGATTTTCAATCCTTAGCCTATTCCTAGAGGTTTCCTTACATTTACTGTTATCGCCGGTATAAACTGTTAAAGGAAAATGATGTCAGAAGCCTAAAGCCTAAAGCCCTGTCCCTCCCTCCCTTCCTTCCAAAAGTGGGTAATGGCTTTGCTAGCACTCTCTGGGAGAAAGACGGTCATAGATTACTTGAAAGAAAGACCAAAGAGCCAGAAACAGGTTCAAATTCTAGCTTTGCCATTTCTTAGCCCTAATTATTGGGCAAATTAGTTAATGTCTTTGTGTTTTAGACATTTATTAGGATTACCTCAGAGGGATGTTCTTACATTTAAAAGTCAATAATTTCAGAATAAAGGCAACAGCAAGATTGTAAAAGTGCATCTGGAAGCCACTATGGAGCACCATTGGATACTGGAGGCCGCAGAGGAGCAAGGGGCGAAAGGAAAGATGGAAAGGCATTAACTACTAATGACAGCATCAGTGATCTCCGTTTTCTGCTCAGTTATTAAGTCAGAAGAAAACCCTGAACAGGGCGCTGGAGAGATGGCTCAGAGGTTAAGAGCGTTGATTGTTCTTCCAAAGGACCTGGGTTCAATTCCCAGCACTTACATGGGCAGCTCATAACTGTCTGTAACCCCACTATATGGGATCTGACTCCCTTACATGTACATACCTGCAGGCAAAACTTTAATGTACATAAAATTTAATGAACACTTAAAAAAAAAAAGAAAACCTTGAACAAAGCCAGTAAAACGAAGTATATAAACAACCTCACCCAGACAACATACGGAGTCATGACCTTTTCTAGGTTTTATAGAAGTTAACAAAGATATATAATTTTACCTCCATTGAAAGTAACCTCGCCAAGGCAGTCTCTTGGTACTTTTGATGCGCAGCGTTTATGGCAGTTGAATTTGCAATCTAAAATAAAAATATTCAGCTTGTCAGTTAAACAGGTAAGATCAGATATAATCACACTTCCTTTAGATCATGAGTCTTCCTCCCTCTAAGAACTCAAGTCTTGGAACATAGTCTGGTCTCAACTTCTGAAGGCATTTAATAGTTTTTCTTTTTTTTAACCCAGTTAGGGATCAGTTTCTTGTCTGTGTAATGAAGCTAACGCCAATGGTAGGATGCAAACACGCTAGCAGCTCCAGCCCTCCTTCTCTTCATGAGGAATCTACGGCATGCACAGATTTTCTACTTACCAGCCATGTGGCCTTATACTTAATTTAAATGAGAACAAATGCCTTTATTTCCCATGTAGTTGCTTGGATGGTTCCTTTTTTAAAAGTATAAAACACTAGAGATCAAAGTAATTTGGCTCTCATGTGTGTGTGTGTGTATACATATAATTCTCCCTTTCTTTTTTTAAGCTAACGGTAAGAACAATTTTTATAGTAAATGTTTCTGAAACTTAGATATTTTAAACTCGTATCTATTATAAAAACCACACATGAATCGTAGCGGAAACGTAAGCATCCTACCTTTGCACTGCATGCCCTGGCGGAAAAGGCCTTTGAGCAGCCGCTTGCAGTACTGACATATGGTCGGCCGGCCGTAGGAGTGGACGGCAAAGGTGTGTGGGACTTTGACTCTGCACATCACCATCTTTTCCATCCAGATTGGACGCCCACTCCAGGACGGGATTCTCTTGCTTGGTTCTTGGTGAGCATGTGACTAAAACATACGTAAATCTGTCAGTTTAAGTTAAGATTAAAAACAAAGGGTTGACAGCAAAGCTTAAGCACAATTTATTTATTGGGAATACTAAAGTACATACTCTTTAAGAATCTGAACGATTCCTAACACAAGAACAAAGTGTAGAAAAATTATTTTATTTGGATCATTTTTAAGAGCAGAGAAACTACCAGCAGATTTCAGTTTTTGGCACCTTTGAAAAGAAATATAGAGTTAAGACAGTGGCAGCGCTGGCTCCAGACTACCTAGGGAACTATCCATTTGACTTAATGGGGGGCAGTTCAATGGTAGTTCCGTCATCTGGATTATTTCTCTACATTGTCAGACACACTTGAAGAAGAGAGAGATCCTTGGTGTTGAGAAGAAGGCATTAAATGGTGAGCAAGGGAAGAACACAGGGTCCAATCATGAGTCCAAAACACCAATGATGTCTTGCCCTCCCACTCCTAGGGAAGGTCCAATGGACTTGAACAATTTCCCATTGCCATGAGTTGGCCTACAGTTTGCTCTCCTAGGGACTTTGACTTTGCGGTTGAGGTAGGCATTACTGCCAGTGGCATATTCCATAGCTTCCTACAATGGTTTATTCTATCACCAATAAATCAGGTTCCTCGGCCAACCAAATAGCTTTCTATTGTTTCTGTCCCCCAACCCTTCTGTGCATGTGAGCGCATATGCAAACACACACACACACACACACACACACACACACACACACACACACACCAAGCACGCACATACATGCACAATTAGTATTTGCCAGTTATAATTTAGCATTTTACAATAAAACTCAATACCTGACAAGGAATTTGTAACAGATGTTACTACCCATCCAGAGCTGACCAAGTAGTTGATCCCAGGAAAAGCAAAGAACTGAGGAATCACGGTCTCTGCTCATATTGTATTACTGAAAATAGCCCGAAACAAAATATAACTTCAAAATTTCCCAACAATTCTAGAATATGCTTGTAGGGATTTGAACTAAATTATGGCAGACAAACAGAAAAATAAACTGGACAGCATTAGTGATAGTAGTTAGATTTTAAGCAGCTCCTTGATATTGCAAATATTTTCCAGTTTTTGTTTTCTTCTTCCAAGTGAAGCTAAAAAATTAAAGAGCAATTAAAAATGTTTATGTAGCTTAGGAGACAAGTGGGTTTGTGTAGCTACAGCTCTCTAAACAAAGGGAATAATCAAACTAAATTATAGGCCAGCTCAGTGCAGCTCATTCCATTCACTGAATACACATCCACTGATTCCTACATGCTAACTGCTGTTATACATTTGGAATACAAAACGATCTAAACACGATCCCGTCTTTACCTCCCCAGATGACTGAAGACTAAAGACCGTGTCTTCACCATCAGAAACGGCGTCTGAGCCTGTCCTGATGCTCCCTCAACCTGTGTAAAGCACAGATGTGTCAGTCAACTGTGCAGTTCGGGCTTCTGCATCTACTGTTTTCGGTTTGTCTCAATTCAGACCATACAAGACACGGTAGGACTGATTTAACTACTAGTTATCAGATACACAGGGCATTCCTGTAAAGAGGAGGTTTCTCTAGCATGTCTTTTCATATGCCAATGGCCAGTTAATGCCTCTGTTTAGGCCCTGCTGATATCAGGGCATTAGGGACACAGTACAGAGCACATGTACCAGGCCGTGTATCTGGGGCAGTCACCTGCCAGTATAAGGGTTACTTAAATTCTCTCCCCATCTAAATATGAAACTAGACTCAGAGATTAATGTCGGTGGTTAGGTCTTCCACATCAGACTCCAGAAATAAACGTTTTTCTTCTCTCCTCAGTATGTGCTGACCCACAATACGATCCCATCAGTCACAGTGATTGCCTCTGTCGGTGAGGATGGCAGGGAAAGTTTGTCTGACTTAATGAGCAATTGAAGGGAGGTGGATGTCAGTATATTTAGCAAGAGAGCTTGGATGTATGTAGGTTATATGCAAATATTGCATCTATGACTATAAAGGAGTTGAACACTAATGGATTTCTCAATTTGCTGGAGGTCCCAGAGCCCACCCTAGGAATACTATAGGATGGCTGTACTTTTCCTTTCCTCTGTCTTCTGTTCTCCCCTAGGCTCCTAACAAACTGTGGATAGCTGCCATCAGAGCATCATTTGTGTGCCTCTTAAAGCAATATAATTCTCTGTACCAGACAGGTTCCCTGTGTGGTTCAGTGTATAAGATATACTAATTTTTTACTAACCGGTTTCCCCTTATAGGCCTTATATATGTCTATACATAGCTTCTGATTCTTAGTCTCTATATCATAGTATTCCTTTTCTACTTTATTTATTAACCAGGTGTTTGTTGTTGTAGCAAGGTCTGACTGGCCTAGAACTCATGATCCTTGCTTGAGTACTGGGATAACCTTTCTTTCTCTGCCTCAAAAATCTCCTCCTGTGGCTAAGCAATACATAAAAATGAGTGTTCTTTACAAGAGAGTTACATAGATCTTTACTTTGATATCTCAGTTTGTAAAGATTTCGTTAAATAGACAATAGCCTAAAGTCTTGCACTGTGCTAGTATACAAAAGTCCTGATAGGACCAATATATGAAGATGGAGGTTATAAAAACAACCAATGGCAAGATTATGATTCACAGATGTAAGCCATTTCAAGTACTGCCAAGCACACAAATCTTCACTAAACTACTCTATTCTTGAAAGGAGCAATAATTAGGGGAAAAAATAACTCATAAAATCTGAATTAATTTGAGTATTTCCTATTAACGTGTCCCATGACTTTGGAAAGTCATTTAAGCAGCCCGTGGCTCCAGCGCCATGCAGATACTAGCTCTGGTGGTACAGCTCACAGTTTGAGGAGCAGCACACTCGTTTGTTCACTTGTATCTACTAAGTACCAAGTACTGTGCTAGGAAAAGTGAGGCACATAAGGACACAGAACTTCTTTGCGCTCACAAACCTCTTTACACTGTCTTCTGCGATGAGCGCAACAGCCTTGTATGTGCAGACAATAGCAATCTCAGTTACGCTTAAAGGTTTGCTCCCAGTATGTCTGTTTCCAAACTTATTTCCTTACTCGGTGAGGCTTTATAGCCTGGCTTTTATTTATCTTTTATTCAGTTTTAGAAACTTATTCATTTTCTATAATCTAGTACACAAACACAAGCAGGGAGGTTTCAAAAGTGTGGTGGCATTCAGAGAATAAGCTACATTACAGGTCTAGGTAAATGCTGGTTTAGACTACTGCCATGTCTAAACCACTAGAAATACTGAGTGGGAAAGACATGCTGTCAATGTGTGTGGCATCACTGATGGGGTGTGGGTCCAGATGCAGCAAAAAGCAATGCACATTTCACATACTGTGCCAATCAGCAGAGTTGATTTCTCCTGCCATCACTGTGTGTGTCACTCCGCATGCACCAGCCTCTGAAGGCAGACTTCTACCAGCAGCTCTCCAGTGGACTTCAAATCAGCGTCCCGCATACTCTGAGGCTTCCAGTTTCTAAGTAGTTATTAGTTTCTCCTGCTTCCCAGTCCATAAATCCTGTCACTTAAATACACACACATCCACGCACGTGCACACACCCCCCCACTCTACTGTATAGGTTTGCTCCTCTGAAGAGCTCTCACATAGTTACCTAGTGGAGAGAAACATAATCAGAGTTGTATATTAGGAAACCTGACCTGATGGTTGCATGTAAGATTAAGTGAAGTATGTGACTAAGGCGCCAGGGTAATGAAAAGGAGGCTCACACGGGGGACTAAATGATATGCAATCCCGGGGGGCACAAAGTACAACCTGTTGCTGTAGGTAGGCCTCATCATCATTATTACATTCAAAGTGCCTTAAGAGCAGCCACATCACTATACTCTGCTATCACCTGTTTTAGGATGCCACATGTCTTATAAAGTCACTAAGGATAACTACTAAAAGTCCTTCTATGGCCTAAGAACACATACCTCTTCACTGAGAAGGGGCACACATTCAGGCTGCAGGGGTCTCGGAACTGACAGGCCAGGTCCCGGCAGAGATACATTTGACAGGCGTCTTTTTCTTACTCCACTACAGTTATTTGGAATCTTGAAGGCACATCGTTTATGATAATTTAATCCACAGCCTAAATATATTTTAAGAGTAAAATATAAAATTTTATAAGATTACTTGATTATTTGAAATCTGATACATAGAACCCAGCATTTCTTTTATTTTTCCTGGCAACAATACCAACCTTAATTACGAACTCAGACGACAGATGATGTGGAAGGTAACAAATTCAAGAATAGTACATATGGAGACAGGTTTATTTAGAAAAGTTAAATTAATTAGAACAGTGAATCTTGACTTGTGTTAGCTAAGACAAACACTTGGAAATTTATTTGAAACATAAATTACTAGACTCATCCCCAAATCTATAGAATCAGAAACTCTGGAGGTAGAGTTCAGAAAAGCATGTTTTATGACACTTGGCAAAAGTTTATGAGTTTCTGGCTTCAAGCACTATCCAGCAGGAAACTGAGGCATGCGTGCAACAAACCTCCAATGATGACAAAATTATGGAACTCAAGCATCAGTGTTCATGAATATAAAATAATAGTAAATAATAATATAGAATAATGGTATTCTTTATTATAATATATATATATATAATTATATAACACAAAGGGTATATGTGTCATCTGTGCACAGCTACGTGTGTATGAGCATGGAGACCAGAGATCAACCTCAGCTATCATTCCTTAGGAGACATTCACCATGTTTTGGGGGCAGAGTCTCTCATTGGGATTGGGAGCTGTAAGAAAACCCTAGCGATTCTCTTTTCTCCAAACTTCCCAAACACATATCACCACACCCAGTATTTTTTGTTTGTTTGTTTGTTTCAGTCTGTGGACTGAACTCAGATCCCCATGCTTGTGTGGCAAGTACATTACCAACTAAGACATTTCCCCTATTCTAAAAATATGCTTTATAGGAACACAGTCTGCTGTTTATTTATATAATATCTATGGTTAACTGCTAAGTTATAAAGAATTTTTTAAAAAAGTTTTGTGTATGAATGTTTTGTCTTCATGTGTGTATATTTGCCATGTACATGTCTGGTGCCCTTGGGCATCAGATCCTATGGAACTGGAGTTACAAATGGTTGTGAGGCACCATGTAGGTGCTGGGAATTGAACCCAGGTCCTCTGAAAGAGCAGCAGGTACTCTCAGGTGATGAGCCATCTCTCTGGTTCCTATGGTTGGTTTTACATTACAGCAGCAGAGGTAAATTACAATGGAGACCACATAGCCTGCAAAACCTAAATACAGTCTGTGCCTGCCATTACCTTACAAAAAAGCTAACTGACCCTCCACAGGAGAAGACTGCTTCTTATTTAGACTTATGTACCTGCTGCCTACTCCTAGCAATTCTAACTCACAGCAATCTGACATTTTACCACTGCACAGAAAAAACTAAAAATGGAATAAAGAGCTGTAATAGTAAGTGGCCAACAGTTATTAAACCACTGTTTACATTACCTTCTTTAATTATTTATGAAACTGGTAGAATAGACTACATTTCACAGAGAAACCATCACTTAGAGGTCTACTAAGTTGCTTATGTAAAGGAACCAGTATGTGGAGGCAAAGGAAAAGCCAGTCCTCAACTTCGCAATTCTAAATCCTTACTACTTAGACACCAACTATGAGCTTAGTGTTCCATTGGTAATTCAAAAATGCAAATGTAAATCCTCTTTCGAATTAATACACCGGTCTAAAAGCACTTACCTTCACATTTTAATCCTTGACGTACCAATCCCCAGAGCATTTCACCACAATAATCACAAAAAGTAGGTGCTTTATAAGAATGTACATAGAGAGTATGAGGGCGAATCTGGAAGTCTTCTACTGTGGCCAAGGCTTTTTTGAAAAAACAACAACAACAAAAAGAAAGTATTAAACCATATTTTTTAATTGCAAAGACATTAGGAATGGTCGCCATATCCATTTATATCAAAACAGGGTACGTTCTCTAAAAGTTTTATGTGATTACAAAATAAATTATTTTTAGCATTTAAAACTGCGATCTAAAAGATTTTACATTTATTTATTATTTGTGTGTATGTATGTTGGGGGAGGAGAATGTACCATGGCACATGTGAATGTCGGGGACAACTTGTAGGCATGAGTTCTCTCCTCCTACCATGTGAGTTATCTGCTGAGCCGTGGCCCAATACTGAGAGTTTAAGCAGTAGTTTTAGAAGTCCAAGAGCTTTATATGAGTTAAGCTCCAAATAAACCAGGTTGGAAGTCTTTGGCTAGGTATACCGAAAGCATTGTCTCATAGCTTAGGACAGACTGAGAAAGAAAACACTGAAGTAAATGATAAAAATCAAAGTGCTATGGAACTTAACCTCATTGTCAAATGTTTCTGTAAGAAGAGACACTGAGTTCAAACAGACTGCCAGGACTCCTTTCTCCTCCATGAGCAATGGAGCAGTAGATACAGACACATTTCTTTCACTTCAACTTGAAAGTCACTAGTGACGTCCCTGTGGTTTGACGAAAGGTCCAAAGCCAAGAGGGAATGAATGTGATCACGACCTTAAAGGAGAACAGCACAGAAATCCCCGTGTGAGTGAGGAGGAAGACAGGGGGTGGTGGTGGAAGATCAGTGCTGGGGTGGACTAGGCAGATGGAAGAATCAGAAACACAGAGGAGAAGTGTTAGGACCAATAAGGAAAAGGAACGGTAGAGAGATCCCAGGAAGAGCCCGAAAGATGAGGGTGGGAGGGTGCCTGGCCACTCGTTTCCTCTCCCGGTCTCCCTTCTTGCCAATCCAAAGTGTGCCCTCGCTGTGGCATTCTTCCTTCTCTCGCACTTTCCCTGGCTACCTGTCCACAGGGACACTGCAGGTGGTGAGAGGGGATGGCAACAAGGGCAAGGCAGGAACGGAAGTGGAAAATGTCCACTGGGAACAGGAAGGGAGGAAACAGTCTTAAGTCGTGCAAGTAACCAGCACCGTCACTTTCTCTTCCAGGTCTTAAATATTCCCCCTCTTATCCGCATTCTCTCTTTGGACCCTCATTCTCTTTGTCTATGCTTTTAACAGAAATGGGGGGGGCAACTTTAATCTTGGTTTTTTTTTTTTTCAACCTACAGAAAGAGAATTTCTTTTCAGTTTAACTAGTAATTCCCTTAGCTTCAAAACACTTAAGTAATTCCACTTTTCCCCCTATTTTCTCATAGTGTTATAACCTTCCTGAAAGTGAAGGCCATGCAGAAACCATTACTACACATTAAAGGAGTAAGCGATGACACAGCACCACAGCTAAGAGCAGCAGAGCACAGAATAGTGTGGTAAATACTCCTTGTGGGGAAAAGGAGCCATTTGCTCACCTGACAGGACAACTTCTACAAGATCTCCTTCATGTATTTCATCTGCCGAGGTAATCAGCTGCAAAATGTTTTCCGAGTTCATGTCGTGGCGAAAGAGAAGAATTTTATCATACATGCCAAAGAATCCACACTCTGGAAACTGTAGGGAAACAGCCCTGTATCAACATCCCATGGCTTTCTACTGTTGTTAAGTATGCTATAAAAGAATTTTAAAGTGTTCCAGCTTAATGTTGGCTACTAACAACTCTTCTAATATCCAAAAGGTGAACCTTGTACTCAAATATCCTGGTTAATTTTAAAGCTCAAAAGCAAAAAAAGTAAATTTGCAAACAAGTAATCATTACCTTAAAATACAGGTCTCTTACAAAATTCAGACTTCTAAACTGCTGTAAGAGAATGCAATCTTTCACTCACTCTATTCTTAGCCTGAAAGGCAAGAAGTTGTTTCCATCCGTTCGAGTGGTACTGCTCAACACACCATCAGCTACTGCTAGTCTTTGGATGTGACATGTAAAATGTCCATGTGCTAAAGGCTTGTGCCTTGTCTCTATTGGGAGTGACTGAAAACAATTAAAACCCAAAAACACCAGTTAAAGAAGGAAAGCCACATTCAAACAAATTTATGACCTAGAGAGGATACAAAACAATACTGCAACAGACACGTGACCTAATGGATAATGGTAGCATGAACTGAGGATAGGGAGTGGCCCAGTGTTTATTCAGAATGTGCACTACCCAGGCCAAGCCTCAGCGCTGCACAGATATATGAATATACAAACAAATACCCAAACACAGGTAAAAGAACGAGTGCAGAAAATATTACGAATAATTATTTAAAATAAACCTTTGTAGGTCTAGAGGCTGAAAGACGTTAGGGTCGCCATAAAAAGTCATTTTCTAGATAAGCACCTATAAATATGACAAATTACTGAGTGACTAGAAGAAAAGGTCTAAATACTGGCTTGCAGAAAGCCCTATTTATTATAATATTAAATAAATGTGTTTTAGCTAGGAATTATCTTAAAGCAAATGTCAGAACTAAAATAACAGAAAACATAGACTGAAAAAAATCAAGAAAAGATTAAACATATCACTGAAATTCAGAGAATCACTGTGGCCAATCTTTAAAAACATCCGAGGTTTAGAGGCATGACTATATTAAAGATAAACATCTACAGAGGAACAGGAAATAAACCATAAACACATAGTTTTAAGATGTTTAAACAACATACAAGATAAACAGAAACAACCTGTAAGGAAATTAGTATACAGATATTTGCTATTCATGAGTTTTAAAAATTCAGAAATCAGGTCTTCACAAACGAGAATATGACTCAACTCTGCTCACACATGAAAATGTTTAAATTTTAACATTTTAAAGAAATTCACTTCCTGTCAATACCCCACAAGGCACAGGAAACATCACAGAAGAGGGGCCAGAGGGACTGCAAGAGCCAGAGGCAAGGGTAGCTGGAGTGGATATGCAGGACTGCTGCAACCATGAGCTCTCAGCAGCTGTGGCTGTCTACGTGAGACCTGAACAAGAACAAGCTAGTCTGGGAAGGACAGAGTCTGCGACCCCTCACTGAGAAGTTTGTCTTTAAGGGTGTGGCTCCGAGTAAGGCTGCCATCCAGGACTATATGAGTAACACAAATGGACAGGAGTTAGGGGAAGGGATGGAGGTGAATATAATAAAATTAAATTGCATGAATGTCTTAAAGAATTAATAAAACATTTAAAACATTATAAAAATCCTGTCCAGGCTTTATTTCCAAATGGATGCCTGAATTTTAAATTTACTTTACAAATATTATTCATTATATTTACTAGTCTTTTTTAAAGTTTTAGAAGTAGAGAAAAAGTCATACAAAAATTATACAGCATTCCCATTTACCCACTTTCCCCATTATTAACACTTTATAGTAGTATGATACATTTATACCAAATGTTGTCATATTTTGTTTAGATTTCCTTAGCCTTTACCTAATGTCCTTTCTCTTTCCTTAGTCTCATCCATGAATCTATGTGACCTTCAGCTACCAGATATAATTATGTCTTTTTTGGATGTAACAATTTCTCACATTTTGCAGTTTCTGGATATTTTGATTATGTTGCTTACTGATAATGTGTTTTATAGTATGCCTCACTAGTGAAACTATCTGATGTTTATCTCATTATTAGATTGAGGTTTGGGTTCTGAGGAGGAGACTGCACAGGTAAAGTGGCATCCTCACTACACTCTCTCAAGCCTGACTGTGCCCAGATTTTTATATCCTGGGGGTCAAACTTGAGTGCACAAAGCAAACACTTTATTAAGCTATCATGCTAGGCCCTGATTTCAATTCTTATTAATTATATAATCTTAATGAGCTTCTCTACCTGTAAAATAGAGCATACTCTGCACTTACCACAAAAATTAAAAAAGTTAATGCAACATTAACTTTGAACATTAGCCATTACTGTTTCCAATGTTTTGTTATAATAAGCAATAGCTGGTATGTAATCACATATTCCTTACCATTACTACTTCTGAAGTATATGTAAAGAATTTCCCAGAATATTTCCTGGGTCAAAGTGTCTAACTAGTCTTCATGAAGGCAGTATCAGCTTATACGTCTACAGGCAAAACATTAAGTTTGTGGGACAGGGGAAATGACGCAGTGCTTGCCCCAGAAGCACATGCGAGCACTGGAGTTCAGATCCCAGAACCTATGTAAATGTGAGGCAGGTGTGAGGGCCCTCCTGCTCCAGCCTTGGAGGGTGAGAGAGACGTGAAGTCCCCACAGCTAGTCAGCTAGCAAGACTCTTCACATTAGTGAGCTCTGGGTTTGACTGAGAGACCCTGCCTCGAAGAATAAAAGTAGAAGACCAAATGAGGATGGCTTCCAACATCAACCTCAGGCCTTTATATGCACATATACATATGTGTACCACATTTGCATACACGTGGGCCCACACATGCAGAAGGCATGCAAATACACACATATGAACACGACACACTTGAAATGGAGTAAGAAAAGTTTGTTTTTGCCATGTGCTATTTTGTAAGTGCACTATCAAATTTGTTGCCCTTACATGAAAAGTGGTACTTCTGTGTATTTCAACTTGTACTCCCTACCCCCTTTCTTATGTGTGTTTGCAGTGTGCATTAGCATACATGTCATATGCACATACGCATCCTTCACTTTATTTAATGAGGCTAGCTCTTTCCCTGAACCCAGAACTCACAGATCCCAGCAAGTCTGGCCAGCTTGCCCCAGGATTCCCCGACTCTGCCTTTCCACGTAGCCAATGTGTCCTGCTCTCATGTGGATTCTGGGGATGAACTCTGGTCCTCATGCTTACAGGGAGAGAGCTTTATCCATGGAGCCATCTCCCTTGCCCTGATTTGTATTTGTCCATTATACAAGGCTAATTATTTTTCATATGCTTAAAATATATTATAAAAATTTGTTATTTACATCTTGCCTATTTTTAGTAATTCAATGATCTTCAAAACACCAAGTTCAACTGTTCTTCAGACTGATTTTTTTTCTTCTTTAATGATTTTGGTACATAGGGGCTGTGTGTAAAGTCACGAACAAGCCAAGCATCGAGTTGCACACATGCAGTACCAGCTCTGTAGAGACAAAGGCAGAGGATCTGATGTTCAAGGCCACTCTTGGATAAACAAGGATTTGGAGGTTTCCCTGAACCATATGAGAAAAAAAGGGGACATGAACAAAACATTAAAAGATATAAACAAAAGCACTTTATATTTTAAAGTTTATCAGAATAACCTGTCAGTGATATGCACAAAAAACTGAGGCTTTTCAATGACAATTGCTGTTTTTCTAAGCTATGCTTCAATAGAATATGGAATAAAAGAAAAGATCACTTTTGCACCCAGTTGTGTAATTTTAAAAGGAAAAACTACTGTGGAAAAATAATGCAAATCAATATATATTTGTGAATGTATACCTGTGTCTCTGGAGGGCTGCTGCACTATCGGTATATGTTTATCTCTAACACACAGACATAACTAATAAAATGGAGTAGATACCTTCTAAACATTCCCATTCTCACGGACAACAAGGACTCTTGGGACAAGGAACACAGCTAGAAGGGTAGCATAATTGAGAACACATTTTAGTAGCTCTCGGTAATGAGAACTAGCTACATTGTATTTCTCTAGGGACTAATTTGCCCCAGAAGGTACATACATGGTGGTGTCTTTATACATATCTACTTTTCAGAATTTGGGTCTGTGCACATTTACTAGGTAAGGTTCTGCAGAATTCACAGGACGGCCTCCATCACAGAACTATCTGGTAAGGTTCTGCAGAATTCACAGGACGACCTCCATCATACTATCTGGCCCCAAATGCTGATTAAAAGCTCAACCTGAGAAGCCCTACTGGTCTAGAATGAAAGGAGTCAAAATCCTAGAGCCTGGGGAATGTGGAAAGGAGTGAGTACCCTTCTGAAAACAGACAAGCCCATGGTTCTTTCCCTACCATACCTCAGCCCTGATTAGAGGGAAAAATGAAGAACAGCTTAAGAACTAGTTTAAAAGCAAAATACCCTCACCTTAATTTCTCGACTTACTTTCTACATTTGTGTCAATGATTCCTCTGCATTGTGCAAAATGAAGTCTTTCCCCAGTTCTGAACAACTGTGGCTAAACACTGCAGCTCTGTCCCATAAAAGTCTCAAGTCACTAAACACCTGTCAGTAAAATGTTAGGTAAGGCAGGAAGCTTGCAAAACTTTTATTTTACTTGGCCAAACAACACTTTTGCGTGTTAACAAACAACTTTGGAATTCAATATTATCGGAGTGAATTATTTACCTACCACTAGGCTTTTTTTATTTTTCTAAGGTAGTATGGGTTCTAGTCTAGAAAATGAGAACTGCTTGGAGTTTTAACACCCATATGTTTCTGCTTTCATATGGTGAGTGAAGTACACACTAATTTCAGAGGCTTGAGGATCACACACACACACACACACACACACACACACACACACACACGGAATACCAAATTGATCTTTAATCTTGATTTCAGGTATCCCTGCACAGTAAATCTTAAAAGTGCCCCTAAAAGTAAAGACATGCTAAGAATGTCCTCTCCTCAGGCTTCCTCCAGACTCCTCAAGA